ATCACAAAAAATTATGAATTTTGATGACCGAGAAAATATATGGACAGTTGCTTTTACTTTTGAGGGAAATTGCCGTAAATAGGAGTAAAAATGTGTGCGTATTCAAAATTAGGGCTTTCATATTTTTATTATCCAAATATTACGGAGTAGTAATTACTATCATGTTTTAGCAGTAACAGACTATAAACATGGTAGTACTTTTCAAGTTTGACATAATTACTCATATTTTAGAAACGGAAAATCACACTTTTGGTCCCTCAATTAGTTACCCATATTGAAATGTCAGACTCGTATTTCTGAGATTGTAAATGTCATCATCGGTGAATTTATTGGTAGTTTAGAATCTGAGATTGATTATAAACGGCGGGGATGACATTTACAATACATCTATCAATTCGGGAGTGACATTTACAATATCAGAATCACGGGTCTGACATTTTAATATGGTGACTAATTGAAGAACCAAAAGTAAGATTTTCCCTTTTTTTGAATATTACGATTTTCCCTTTTAGAAATAAAAACATGAGAATCCTATTTTAGAATTCCAAAATTTTTTAATCTTATTTTAAGGATATCCCTTTTTTGGTAAAGGGATTGTGAATTTGTATTGAGTAATAGAAAACAAAACTAAAAAACTCTAACAATTAAATTATGGTTGCTGAGTTTTGTAGACTTAGAAAACAGAAATAGACAAAGGGAAATAATTTTTAAAAATATGTAGAATATAAAAATAATTTAATAGCATAAAAATATAGAATTTAGCATTCTAAATTTTGCAATTCCCGTATTTTCAAGTTTGCAAATGTTATCCCTCAATTGTCTAAATTGTTGTAAATGTGGTACTTTGAAGAATTGAGAGTGACATTTATAATGTGGGCAAGGACCACATTTACGGGTGACAGATACACACTTGAAAATACGGGAACTACATTTCAATATGGTCACTATTTGAGAGACTGAAAGTGCGATTCTCTCTATCTGAAATGAAACGATTGATAGCTAACAATATTATATACCAAGACGTCATATAATATGATACGTAGTATAAATTTTGATCTCGTGCGTTGAATTAGGTAAAAATAATAAAAAGTAAGCTTAGAAATACTTTTATGATTGATTTGGCTGAATTTACCTAGAAGATCTTTTTAGCTATTTTTCATTCATTTTTTCTTTATTCTTCTAATAAAATATAGGGAAAATTGAAAATAATAATCCCAGCTATTTTTCATTAATTTTTCTTTATTCTTCTAATAAATATATTATAGACATAATTATTTTCATAATTCAGCAGAATCAATCAATCCAACCACTTAACCCTGAACTTCATAGATTTCAGAAAATTAATTAAGTCAATTTTTGAGTTCTCAAATAGGTTCTAAATTGTGGCAGCTGAATTTTTTAGAATAAGGAAAACAAAATTGCAGACTCGTGAAGTAGTAATATATGGAATATGATTGATTTGATTCTTCAAAATTATTAGGAAAAATAGTAAACTTAAACAAAACATAAATACTTTGTACATGCGAACTACTAAACTACTTCCCTATTTTTGCTCCGCATAATTTGTATTTTATGTGAATGAATTGAATTGAATTGAATGAGATAGATCCACGTGGCAGGAGCATAGCAATGGAGTGAATTTGGAAAGATAGACACGTGTGAGGTTTTGAGGGTAAAATGGTATTTATATGAGCTATCTCCTTTCTTATATATAAATAGATTTGACGATTATTGATGAATATGTTTATTTTATATTATGTTTATATGTGTGTGTGTATAAATTACGCCTCAGGCATACGCCTCATTGCATAATTAGGCTTACGTAATATCCATTTTTAAAAAAACATCACCACTACGCAATACCCAATTTCAAACCTTGTTGAAAGCACGCCAGAAGTGTGGCTTTATCGACGGCACGATCCAGAAACCTACTGAAGCGGCTAGGATACTTGATTGGGACACAGTTAACTCGATGATAGTCTCCTGGATACTGAGGAGTATGGATTCGAGCGTGGCAGCCTCAATTCCATTCCACGACGTAGCACGGACGTTGTGGCAATACCTAGAAAAGCGCTTCAGTGAGGCGAATGGACCTCGCCTGCTGCAGCAGCGCACCTCGATTGCCAATTGTAAACAAACAAAAGGTATGTCTGTTGATGCTTATTTTACTGCCCTCATGGGATTATATGATGACTTGAATCGCTTGAAGCCATTGCATAATTGTACGTGCGGAAATTGCACGTGTAACGTGGCATCCAAGTATGTAGCCGATCGGGATGAAGAACAACTTCACCAATTTTTGATCGGAATTGATGATGAAGTTTATGCAACAGTCCGCTCCAATTTGCTTTCCCAGACTCTTTTTCTCGATCTTGCACACGCGCGTCAGGCCTTTCTTCAAGAAGAACGTTCACGAGCAATTACACGTGGGAAGGGTATCGCGAGTGCTGCTGATATCCATGCTTTTGCACTGCAGGCAGACCGCAACAAGGGAAAACCAGACAAAACAGAAAAGACTCGGCTCTCTTGTAAACATTGTAAACAACGGGGTCATGACGTGAATGCATGTTTTAAATTGCACGGCTATCCGGAATGGTGGGAAGAACATAATAAGAATAAAAATGGGGCAGTGGGTCGTACCCAGGCGGCTGGAACGACTCTGTCGGCAGTTGGTTCGCATGGTCAAAGAGGTGTGGCAAGGGCACATGTAGTGACTTCGCTGGCCGGTCCTCACGCTGTTGTCCCAGACTCTTCTCATGCTGGCAACAGCGACTATAACCCGCTGCGGGAATTGAGTAGGGAACATGTTCAGACACTTTTACATATGATTAATGCAGAAACTCGTTCCACTGATCGCATGTCGGGTAAGTGTGGCTCTCTTGACTGGATAATAGATACCGGTGTGTCTCGTCACGTAACGGATGAATTGTGTCGCCTTACTGATATTGATAATATTCATAATTGTGCGGTGGGATTGCCAGATGGGCGCACTGTCTTTGCCACTATGGAGGGTCATGTGCATCTTTCCAAAGATCTTGTTCTTGATAATGTTCTTTATGTTCCCAAATTGAATTTTCATCTTACTTTAGTTTCTCAGTTGACTGATCAATCATCATGTACTGTTACTTTCACTAATTCTCTGTGTGCTATACAGTTCCTACACTCGAGTAACCTGATTGGAGCCGATGAGAGAAGGGATGGGTTATTTTTCTTCCAACGTGCTCCTACCTTGCATGCTGTGGAAGTATCTGGTTTAACGGATTTCAAGTTATGGCATCGCCGGTTGGGTCATCCATCAGACCGGGTCATTAAATTATTACTACCTGCAATTCGTTCTAGTGTTTTTAGAAAATCACTTAATAAAGTTTGTGTGATATGTCCACAAGCCAAACAAATTCGTGATTCTTTTCCTACTGGCAATAATAAAGCAAGTCATATTTTGGAATTAATTCATTGTGACTTATGGGGCCCTTATAATACACCTTCGAGTTGTGATGCGATTTATTTCTTGACCATTGTGGATGACTACTCTAGAGCTGTATGGGTTTATTTATTACGTGACAAAAAGGTCGTAAGGAGGTGCACAAATATTTTGTCTCATTTTTTGCTATGATCAGTACACAATTTGCAGAAGTTGTTAAAATTGTTCGTAGTGATAATGGGGCTGAATTCAAATGCATGCACCCTTATTTTAATGAGCATGGTATCTTGTTTCAAAGCTCGTGTGTAGAGACACCTCAACCAAATGGACGCGTCGAACGTAAACATCAGCATATTTTAAATGTTGCTCATGCATTGATGTTTCAGGCCAATGTTCCTATACATTTTTTGGGTGAATGTGTTCTATTTCAGAATTGATGTTGTAAAACCAAAATGTGCATAATGGATAACTGCAGTGTCATACTGCAGAGATACGACCAAACATTCAAAATTAATACTATTAAAACAGTTCTACATTTTCAGCTTATAATAATGATAATATAAACCAGATAATCCGTTGGAGATGATACCATGCCAAGTTATCCATGTACTCCTGGGTAATGGCTAACGATTAAGAATAATAGATTAACATCGTAATGAAGCTCATAGGACGAATCACAGCACCGCCGCGTTCAACGCCATTTCTTTCTTCTCCCGGTTCGTCTTCTTCAAGTTAATCGTGCACTCACGCCCGTCTCCGCAAATTTTAGAAGTGTGCTACAAAGTTTATTCAGCAAAGTCGGTCAGGTTCAATAGTTATGTTTGTTTAGTTGGGCCGAGTTTCAAAATAGAATATGGATGTTTTCTTTTTGGCCGGAATTTTTTTTGGTCTGATCTGGTCTGAACTAGTCTGGTTTGTTAAATGTTTGGTCTGTGTGTATTTTATAACTATGGACGTCTAGTCTAGTAAATGTCTGGTCTTTGTGTATTTCATAATTACGAAAGTCTGGTCTAGTCCGATCTTGCATGATCTGGTCTGGTCTGGGACCGAAAACAGTATAAAAGAAAACATCCTAGATCATGTTAGATTTGATCAAATCAAATCAAACCTTGACAAACATAAAATATTCAGATACCACCATCTACTAGGTCACACCAGACAAATTTTAATTAAATCATATTTAAACAAACGTTACCAAATCAAATAATACCTATTGTTGAGAACTCCAAGTCTCCAATGTTAGGGAGTATTTCATTGTGGTAGTTTTTCTGAACACGTGTTGTGGATGTTTCACACGGCATGTTTTTCCATTTCATCATTATAGTCATCTTGCATGTTCAAAGGTTAGCCAAGCGAATTGGCTGACTACTGTTCTACATGTTTTTGGTATATCAATACAAGCCTTTTCCATTTAAAAAAAGTATAACACACGATTGTTTTCTTACAAGTTTGTGTCGGTTTTGATCTTCAACAATTATATCAGTTTGAGTGATTCGGTTTTTCGCAAGTTGTTTAACATTCATGAAAAGGTGAATGGACAGAATGATAAAGTTTGTGGGGAGGATAGACACTGTTAAAAGAAAGTAAAGAATGAGATGAATTAGTTGATGAATTAACATTGTCTTCACAATGTGTTGACTATAATGACTGGAAGCAAGACTTCAAAAGGAGGAAGAATTAGACCTGATAATTTATCAAAGTAGCCCATACCAAAAAGGATCAAACCTAAAGAGAAGATATCTCGGCAAGAAAACAGATTAGGTAATTTTCCCGTGAATCAAAAGAATGTTGTAGAGAGCATCAACACCTTAGGCATGTAAACAAATGAACTCTTGGTTGAAATGAATTCGATCTCTTGGTACAGAAGTAGCTTTCATGCCATTCCTATCATTCTTGCATATTTTTGTTGACTGGTGCACAAGTCCTGAGGCTCTCACAGCCTGGACAATTGTGCAAGCTCTCATGGACGTAGATATCACAGTCCAGGCAGAAGTGTTTTTTGCATTTCGGACAAGCAACACATGGACCGGGTATGTTGCCTGCATCAGAAAGAAACCAGTTTCATCATAAAGGTCATGTTTCGGAAGTAAATTTTGGGGGAGTTTTTTTATTGGATAAATCTGTTTGTAGACCTTTTTTGTACACTTTTTGTCTACAAAGACAGTTCGGCTAAAAAAGCAGCAGTTATGTGCACAGACAATTGTACATAATGTGTACAAAAAAGTCGTACACCAAACATTGTACAACTTGGATACCTACTTGTCCAAGGAGCTATATAAAGGCAGTTCTCTTTTAATTTTAGAAAGAAAAATATGTATGGAGTGTGCTAGTAAATATATGACTTGGATTTTATTTCACACTTTCCTTTTTGGGTAAAGTCCAAAATAAACTTCACACTTCTTCTCCCTTCCTTATTTGACAAATTATCTACATCAAAACAGTGCAAAACAGTGTCAAATAGTGTCACAAAAGTGTATTCTACGGTAAAGTCAAATTTGTTTCCTTAATTTGTGTGAAGTCAAAGTGTGATGTTTATTTAGGACCGGAGGGAGTACAAGATTATCATTTCATAACACAACTATTTTCTCAAATGAAATATTACCCTACCCCCCCCCCCCCCCCCCCCCTTCCCTCCAAATCCAAGCTCCCAAACATACTATACGCTCCAAACACGTAGCATGCACACAAATTTGAGGCAATAATATTGTAGCATGCCATTTGTAAAGATATAGCACTAAGCAGTTGTATCAACCAACCTTGCTTCACAAATGAACCGTTTTGCAAAGAAGGGGTTGGGACAATACATGCATACATAAAGGAGCATGGATCTTTGAGAGCACCACCCCCACCCCCACCCCCCGCAAGGTGTTGCCTAATGCCTATAAAAGGACACTTGATTATTTCTAAAGTACACATAAGAAATTTTACTTGTTAGGTGGAGTTAAACAATTTTATGTGAGTCGTACAAACATATACTTAGTACTATCCACCCCAGGACTAAGTGACTAATCCATATGGACTTTTTACACCATATAGTTGGGCTTTAGAATGGATAAATAATATAGTAGTAACACACAGTCTGAGATAAATCAGTTTACATGTCAAGACATCACATATTCATTTAAGACAGATAATACCAGCCTAAGAAAAAAGATATGAAGGTAAAGTTACCGCATTTTACAAAGTACAAAACCAAGAAGCAAACATACAATTTTTTTAAATGGTCATCATTTTCATTTACCCCAGTGCCGCAAAGGCTCCCACCTACGGTGGGGTAAGGGGGGGTCGGATGTACGCAGTCTTACCCTTATACTAAAGCACAGAGAGACTGTTTCCGGATGACCCATAGTGAAAATCGCGTCCAAAATTGCATGGACTGACTGCTGCTTCATTACAAAGAAGCACAGACAGTTTACTGAGCCAATTTTTTTAAATGGTGATGGCAATAAAAGTTGATGGCAATAACTTGACATACCAGGGTTTAAGAGACTCTGCTGGCAACCAAAACATTTTTTTTGCATCTTTTGCAAATTGTTTCGAACGGAGGGTGATACATCCTCAAATGGAGTGATTGGAAACAAGTGATGGTATGACCTTGCCAAATGTGGAGAAGAAACTAAGGTGAGCCCACAAACACAACATTCTGTAGGTAGTTCACAAACACGTGCTTTGCATCTTGGACACGTGTAGCCTCCACCAATTTTAGCTTCCTTGTGGCAAGAACAGATAGAAATTGCGCCTTCAGCCGCTCTTTGGGGAAACCCCATCTTGATCAAATTTGCAACTGCAAATTCTGCTATTGCAGGAGGTGGTGGGGCATGCTCCAGGACCAGCTCTTTTATATGAGCCTATTCACATATTCGAATTAGATAAAATTAGCTACCAATAAAGGTCAGTTTGGGTCAAGGACTCAAGGGTTCTGGAAGGGATGACTTCGGAAGACATGATATATATCTTGTTAAATATAATGTCACTTTTCAATTTTAGAAATAATTATCAAGATATAGACTTGAATAATCTTTCGTTCCCTTGATAGCATTCCATCCCAAAACCCTATATGCAAACAGATCCCTAAGAGAATATTGTTTATTTGTTAACATTATTTCAACCAAGGCATCACTATATCATTGGATTTGGCCACTACTCAAAATGTTCATTTAGGAAAAGCCTAGAATGATGCCATTAGTTTGGTATAGCTCACCTCGTCCAATGCAACATAATACATTCCACCAGTTTCTTGGCAAAGATGCTTGCAAATATAGAGTTCAGCCGCAAGGCCAATAAGGGAGCATCGTATTTTGGATTTCTTGCATTTCTGGATGGTTTCCATTATATCCCCAGGGTCGCAAGTATTCAGAGCCGAATATAAAATTAGAACTTCACGATGACCATATGATGGGATTTGACTTAGAAGTTCATGCACAAGTTCTAATCCATTCTGAAGTGAAGCATCACCTGAACACTCCAACTTACCCATCAAAGCTTTAATGTGAGCCTCTGGACTGCCTCCAAGATCTGTTAAACAATGAGCAACCCCATCTTTCAACATTACCAGGCCAATCTGACTCAGGGGGTTCTGATCAAAAAATTCTCTAATAAAAGCCCCCACTTGTCTTGCAACTACAACCATTCTGCTTGGTTTATAGTCCGTTTCAGTAGCTACCTACATGCCAAAACTTGTGTAAAGAATAATTTCACTTCAAGATTAGAGCAATTCAATGCAATAGTACATTTTGGACTCTGCTTCTTTCCATTCTATTTCTAGGTTTATTTGCTCTTTTTTTGCATGTAGTGAACTGCGAAAGACTGATAGATCCATAAAAACCTAAAACAATTAACCTGTAACTACATTATCACTTATTGAGTGATACTAGATTACGAGAATATTCAGTTACAGAACCTTCATGTTAGTTTATCAGAGCTAACCAAATTGCTAATTAGTCAAAATGGCATAGCAGTGAGCTTTAATCCCAAATCCCACTAAGCAGTGAATAATATCATTTTTCATCATTTTCATTTACCCCAGTGCCACAAAGGCTCCCACCTACGGTGGGGTAAGGGTGGTCGGATGTACGGAGTCTTACCTCTGTACTAAAGCACAGAGAGACTGTTTCCTAATGACCCATAGTAAAAATCGCGTCAAAAATTGCATAGGCTGACTGTTACTTCATAACAAAGAAGCGCAGACAATTTAGTGAGCCATTTTGCTTTATTCCATCATTTTCCCAAGCCAAAAAATAGTGAGTCTTTGGCTCCATTGAAAATAGTGAGTCAACGATTAATATCTTTCAAAATTTGCATACCCGGGAGAAATCAATTACAATGTAAAGATAGCGAATCAGGCCCTTCTGAATGCGAGCAGTAGTTGCAGAGCGGAGGCGTCTCCGATACTGAGCATGGTAGAGGTTTTTATTGTCAATAGGACGCAGAAATCCAGATTCATCCTCTTGTAAAGACTCCCATGACCTCTCATCTGCATAGGTCCTCTCCCATGCTTGAAGACCTCTTCCATCATCATCGTCTTCATCTTCCTCTTCTTCATTTGTACTAAACCGCCTTTCGGCCCCATTCATTTCTTTCTTCTGCAGAGAAATCTTCCATATTATGCACTCATCATATAAAATGCTCTGTATAAACTACTACGTATTGAAAGATGCCAATTGCGGAGGCCCATCTTCAAGGGTTGGGCTTCTAGACTATGAGTTCAAATATAATTAAGATGTTTTTAATTGGACTCATTTTAGTCCAAGACTATACAAGTAGACATTTCAGACTTTAACAATGTAGACCAGATTAAACCAAATCATACTTTGACAGTAGTAAAATACTAAAATACACACAGAACCGACATCTATCAGACCATACCAAACCAAATTAGACAAAATCAACCCAGACTAGAAAATTTCAATCCAGTTAAAAACATTCTTACTTTGAATGGTCCATCAAGTAATTTGAATGGTCTCATTTTGAATTCAAATTTAATCAATTCAAATAATTACTTCAGGTATAGTTTAATTTTTTTTTACAGTAACAGGTATAGTTTAATTAGATGAAAACGGGAGTCGACTTTTTGGACAGCTCGGTGCACAACAGCATCCCAGCAAGGCGAGAGTTCGGTGAAGGGTCCCACCACAAGGATGTATAAGGGGCAAGCCTTCCCCTGTTGAAGTTTTTCGACAAGAGGCCGCTCCCAAGAGTTGAACCCGTGACTTCTCAGTCACCCGCAGCACCTTAACTGGTGCGTGAAGGCTCCCCTTTTGGAAAAAATTAAATATGGAAAGTTTAAATGTTACTAATTTCAACATTTCAGTTTATCCCTTTAATTTATCTTGTGTAAATTTTATTCTCTTGTTATTCAAATTTTACGTTACTCCTATTAAAATATACGTGATATATATTTTAATGCTAATTTTATACATTTCAATAGCAAAATGAGTCTACTTCATTTTCTGCAACTTTTATCCATTTTTAGTAAATACGTAGTAATATCTAGTTAGACAATAGCATTTGGCTTCGATTTGTTCGACCAACATGGACAGAATACTTACTTTCAAGTTCCAATGTCCTAAAACATGCTTCAACTAGTTCCCTTAGTAGGGCCGTTTGTGTCTGTTTTGAGGCCTAGGGGACGGTAATTTATAATGAGTTTAGTCTATAAAAAACATTTTTAAAGACTAACATGCATAGCTAACTCCAAAGTCTTTTGGGAAAAAGGCTTGGATGTTGTTTTATCTAAACTAACATGCATAATAATAATTTTTCAAGACATTTAAAATAAAGAAAATACTTAAATTTGTTAAAGAAAGTAATTTGTTAAAAGAATTACTCGATTACATTTCTTGCTAAACATTGTGAAGTGAAATCATCAACAATAGCTTCATAATCAAACTTTTCTAACACATTATGCTCAATCCATTAATATCATCAATACATTAAGCCTTTTTTATACATTGTTGACCGCATATAATTCTTTTAGAATCTTCAGCTTTGAAAAACCTCTCCTCATTTTTCTTTCGGCCTTCCGAAAATCAAGCATTTTTATTACACCTAGAAATGAACTAAATTGATAAATTTAATTATAATATTTTTACCGAACAATTTATAAAACCAATAGAAAATCCAAATTGAATTGCAAAACAGAAGTCACTAATCACTTAAAATTCAACAAGTTAACAATTAATGACAACATCAACAAGAGCAGAAGAAATTGACAGGCAACAAATCAACAATCATCAACTATGATTTATGAGTGTGAAGTAATCAACATTGAACAGAAAACAAACAATTAATCATTTATCAACATTCAACACCTATAAAGTAATTAACTACGAAGTAAAAAAAATATTCAAATAAATGAATGAATGACTACAAGAGTTAAAGGAGGAGATGAGGAGTACCGAGTACGGAGTCCCAGAAGGGCGGGCTGGGCAGAAAGGGCGAAGGGGATGGGCAGAATTGCAGGTCCACGGTCCACGTTCAAGTGCAGGAGGACCGACTACCGAGCCACCGAGCACCAGAAAGCTAGCAAAAGGGGCAGGTCAGCCAACCCTCACAGGCTCTCTGTGTCGGAGACTTGGCGAGTTAGTCGATTGACGATCGTCTCTGGTCGGCTGCCCCTCTCTGTCCTCGTAACAGTGTTTCCAAGTGGCTGAAGTCCTCAATTTTTTTACTCCGATCTTTGAGTCTTTCTTGAGTTTCTTCTCCAATTTTTGGGCTGGTCGGTCGTATAATGTATCTTCCTATTCTTGGATTGTTGGGCACTTGGGCCGTACAAATTTATGAAATTAGAACTGAAAATCGACTACTCACGGTGATTATAAAGATTAAACATCAGGCCTAATTTTTTTGAAATATCTATGCGCATACATTTTTAATCTTCTTCAAATCTACTCTGTAGTCTATACATCTTAGGAAAACGTTTGGTAGCTCATACGGAATATTAATCATCTCTCATCAAATAAATTTAAATCACATGACGTACTCAAATGCATAGGTTTAAAAGTGACAAGATATGGGTAACGTGACCCCTTACATGACAGATGACAAGATAAAAACTATTCTTATTTAAGAATTTCGTTTAACGGTACCCTTGATCGGGAAATAAGATTGGAAAGTTAATTTTCTTGGGAAAAAGCTCCACGGCATTCTAAAGGACATTTAAGATAAAACAACATCCAAGCCTATCTTTATATAATATAAAGTAACAGTGGGGCAACAACTATTGGAGTGAATTTTGCCGCCCAAAATAAGGGCAAAATTGGAAAATGCATGTGCAATATATTTAGAAGTGCCGCCCAAAATCTATTTAATATGGCAAACTATGTAACGTCTAATGTCCCCTTACATGACGCTACTTGCCATCACTACGTAAAGATAATAATGGTAATAACCATATGTTATTATTATGTGGCCATAATCATAGCCAATCTAATCATATATGGCAATACTGTTGTAATTATTTTATAGCCTAATAAATGTTTGACCATATTTGCTACGTACGTATGCAGCATACATATCTTTATGAAAAAATGGCAAACAAATTTATTCAATTACATAAAGATAAAGATAATTACTTACTTTTATTGTCTTACCAAATTTTGGGCAATAATTTTTCCCGCATGCACGGCTCAGCGTTGAACTACCGTTTATTACCAATTTAGTTTATTGTGCATATTTACCATATATGTGTAAAATAATAACCGGAAGTAATTTAGGAAATAAATTTTATTAAATATATAATAATAATAATAATAATAATAATAATAATAATAATTTTCCTAGGGCATCCGTTAGCATTGTTAAGGAATGAATATTTAACAACCTATAACATATATACGTAGTTCAACTCATAAGTAATTTTCCTATATAAATAGTAGTTCAACTCACCATATCAAACCGTTGTATAAACTTAGTATTACTCATCTAAGAGTCTTCCATTAACAATGCCGGTAAAAACAGTGAATCTAGATGAAATTCAACCTGGATCTATTCAATGGAGAGTCCGTGTTCGTATAATTCGTATGTGGCATGTTCCGGAATGGAATAAACCGGAAATTGTTGGTTCTTTGGAGATGATCCTACTCGATCAAACAGTAATTGTTATTCGATTTCAGTTATTTATTTGTCATGTAATTCTATGGTTAATTTATGCTACAGTTATTTTTACTAATTTTGCGTTTCTTTTGTAGAAAAACAAGATACATGCTACTGTTAAAAAGGCTCTAATTACCAAATTTGAGCCACTTTTAGAAGGACAGACTTATGGCTTTGAGAATTTGTTGGTTGTTATGAACGACTCAAAGTCTAGAAAGCACACTGCACACAAGTATCGGCTTGATTTTTTGGGAATTACAAGGGTTTATAACCTACAATTGACCAGTGTGCCTATGCACCACTTTAACTTTGCTAGCTTTAATGATATTTTGGCCGGAAAATATGAGGGTTCATACTTCGGTAAGTGTACAACTTATACTATATTACGAATTTGTTATTCAACGATACTGTAATGATTTTATATAAAATATTTTTGTAGATGTAATCGGACATGTTGCCGAGAAGGACAAGATGATAAAGGAAATATTGATTAATGAGCAGAAAAGAAAACTATTTGAGGTTCTTCTGGAAGATGTCCAGTATGTTTTAATACATATGATATAATTATTCAATATTGAATATGAATCTAATCATGAAACACAAATGTTTTTAACATTGCAAATTTTTATTCCAGAGGTAATAAAATAAAGTGTTCATTGTGGGCAAAGTTGGCAGAGCAGATTAAACAATACCTGGACAGTAACCAAGGAGAATGCTTTTTAATTGTAGAAATCTGTCAGACTAGAATATACAACGGTAGAAATTTGTAATTTATTGTCATAGTTTTATAATTTATTTATTTTATAAAGATATTAATATTGAATAATATTCACAGGGACGTTGGGAATAACAAATGCTTACTATGGGACAAAGTTACATATCAACTCCCCTCTTCCAGAAATTCAAGAATACAAAGAAAGGTAAACTTTTTACGAAAAATTGAAAATACGTTTTCTATGCTTTCTGAAATACCCACACTTAAAATATGTGTGACCATTTTAGAATGTTTTTGCATGCTTTTGTGAAATACAAAGTCAAAATGAAAACTAAACCAAACCTTTTTTTAGCAGCCTCTCTACTTTATTTCAAAGTCCCTTAGTACAAAACTAAACCAAACCTTCAACAGTCCCTGCAAAGAAAGATCAATGAATTACAAGAAATTACAATAACTAATCTAAGACCAAAGACATGAAAGATTTAATTCCAGATCAGTTATATCAGCTTAGTTTAAGTTATATTTTTAGCGAACCTGATTCAATTTTCTTCACATAATTTCTACACCTTTTTAAACCTTACCTCTGCCTGCATATGAATATCAATCATTTCCCAAAAAAATACAATAATCAATCTGAAATAGAAAAGAGTATGGAATCATTAAACCACAAAGCACAAAGTCTCAATCCAGACTTTTCAAAATAAATTATAGTTTGCTAACTTATGCAAAATTGTATTAATTTCTGCCACAATTTAGACTTGGGCTTCTTCCGCAAGCAAATACTAATCTATATATATATATATAAACGGAAAAGCGTGGGGAAGTTTGGGAGGGAATTTGGGCGGGATTAGCTCAATACGTTTGAAATGTTATATTGGTGATCTAAAGGATTAGCAAACAATAATGCTGTAATTATGACGGCTTGAGGCTGTTTATCTTCTCCATGAAAAGGTGTGTATGAAAAAATGTGTTTCACGTTGCTCAACATTTATGCATTGAATGTGCTATCACATTGTTCAACATGTGAACATTTAATGCTTGCTACCAAAATGTGGCTTTTCATATTCTAGCATAATGCTACCAGAATCTTTCTACTATAAATACGAGCTAACTTTTCTACTCCTCTACTGACATATAACGAAGCTGGCCAAACTGTTCACCCACAACAAAGCCCTGAGATCAACAGTTCTATACAACCTTGCTTATACAAATAATTAGGGGTTCCACCTTTTTACAACTTCATCATTGCTTGCAGCCCAAAGGAATGGCTACAAAGAAGCAAAAACATGAAATCAACATTTCTGTAGGAGGGTATAGAACCTTCAAATCTTTGCCTAACACAAACCATGATATTATTGTTCTCATAGTTACTGTAAGAAATCTGATTTCTACACATGATTGGTGTTTAGATGTCCCAACTTTTGGTTTGTAGATTACTTCTTCAGACATGCATTGGGCATTAAGGTAAAATACACATGAAATCTATCACAGGTAAAGGTAAAATTCACCGATATTCTACAATCTTTTTAAGTGCGAGAAAATTCACATCAGTTTTTGGCGCCATTGCCGGGGACGGTGTCGGTCTTAAGGGTTAATTTTACTTAGCGATTAGTTTTTAGTTTTTCGTAGGATTTTTGTCTGCTAACCTTGCAGGTCAGCTCTGTTTATGCATACACGTTCTAAGAGGGGAGAACCGCTAATCCCTCTTAACCTTGAGATTGAAAAGCTCGCCAGACAAAACCGCAAGGCTCAAAAGGAAAAGAATAACATGGACCACCAGTCTTCATCTGGAACCGCAAGGATGTCGGGTAACCCTAACCCCACATCTCAGCAAGATTTCTATGTAAACACATCACCCTAGTCTTCACCACCAATTTCACCTAGAAACCCTTCAGGTTTTCAAAATTACCGCACTCCGATTTTTTCCCAAAATCAGCCTTCACCAGAATTTAATCTCCCTCCATTATTTCACCTCTTTCAAAATACCCCTACTGCTCCTGAAACCAATTTTCAAAATCAAGTTTATGGGATGCAAGGAGCAGGGCAGAGTATTCCCGTTTTTCAACCGAGACAGAACTCACTTCCAATCAATCAACCTACATTCCAAAATCAGCCTCAGTACCAAAACCCATACCCCAATCAGTTTCAAAACCACACTCAAGTCCCACCTACTCAGCCACAATCAGCCCCCCAACCTATACATCAGGAGTCTCCACCCAATCCATATATACCGCACAACAATCCACTCTATCAGCGCAAGACCATTGTAGAGTTCCTTACACCAAACGTTTCAGAGTACGATAGCATTCAAGTGCCGAGAATTACTGCCAACCGTTACGAGATCAAGTCGACGGTGATCAGCATGGTATCCAATAATCAATTTGGAGGAGGCCCTACAGAAGACCCAGTGGCACATATTACCCGTTTCCTGAGGATGTGCCAGACTTTCAAAATACCTGGGCTTACTGATGATCAGGTGAGAATGATGCTTTTCCCGTTCTCACTGAGGGATGATGCACAGAGGTGGTTGGACAGCAATCCTCACCACCACCTCCAGACTTGGGACCAGCTGCATAGTGCATTTATTAAAGAATACTTCCCTACATCAAAAGCCCTGAAATTGAAGAAGCAGCTACAAGAGTTCAAACAGGGGTCGCTGGAGACTTTAGCTGAAGCATGGAAGAGATTCAAGGTGCTGAGAAGAGCTTGCCCTCAAGGCAATTTGACTGATTGTGAGGTTCTTTTTTACTTCTATAGCGGACTCGGCATGGAAGGGAAGATGATGCTTGATGCTTCAGGTGGTGGAGCCTTTCCTAATCTACCATCCGAGGTGGGGGAAGAACTAGTGGAGAAGATTGTTTCAAATAATGCATCTTGGTACAGTGACAGGAGTGCTCCTCAACAAAAGGCTACGGGCTTATACGAGATCAGCGATAATTCTGCTCTCTCTGCACGAGTAGATACATTA